TCTGTTATTCACTCTGTAACTATGCACTAAACATGCCAGTTACTGTGCTAAACTGTTCCTTAAGGATACATACAGTTACTATGCTGTGGCCCAGTCCTTGAAGAGCTTCCTTGAAGCAGGGCAAGCAGACGCTATGCTATATCTACATGTCTCTATATTACTACACTAGACATAGCTAGAAGAACACAGTAAGTGCTAAAACACAGGAAGAAGCAAAATGCTGTGAATCTGTGTAAACAGTATCCCTATAGACGAAAACTCATCAAACGCAAAAGTGAGTTTAGAAGTACCTTTCATTTGCAGGGCATGGGGGACACAGACCAAGGCAGGATTCTTTGGCCTAAGGTTCTGATTTAAGAAAAAAGAGGCAGTTAAACTGTTCACATAAGCTAGAGCTCAGAAGGACGCATAATCTGATACTGGGATAGGCAGGCTGATAAAAGTGAAAAGTCAGTAGCAAGGAGGGATTTGCTCCTAAGAGAAATTATTCTAGCTAAAGAGAAAGGGATAAAGAAGACAAGACTTGCTAAAAGATGTGTTGAACACTACTAATAAGTAAAACTGTTAGATCAAAGGGTCACTAAATACGGAGATGGAAATCCTAAAAAGAGTAGTGCCAGAATCAACACTACAAGGAAAAAGCTCACTAGTTATTTTATGTGGAATTATACTTCATTCATTAATTTCCAGGAAAAAAATACCTGAACCGCATACATTTTATACTCTAGTATTTCCTGATGCGAAGTTACTGCACACTGAAAGGCGACAGAGGCAGCAGATTTAAAATATACATGCATATATCAAATCTATTAAAAGGCAATAGGTTAAAATACAGACTCTGGAGCCAGACTGCTTTGGGCAAGTTTTCTTCATTCCTCTGTGCTTCAGTTTCTTCATTTCCTACCTCAGCATTTTTGTAAAGTACCCAGAACTGTGTGTGGCACGAAGCACTACACAAGTAGGGGCTACTGCCCTCCTGCTGCTGGGGGTGCACTGCCAACAACACGAAAGAGAAAGCGGAGCTCCAAGGCCACTGCCTGGAAGGAAAACCCCAAGAGGCCGCATCTCCCATCTTCTACTGAGCATTCCCTTCCCTGAATCACTCTGGGGAAAGCAGGGGCAGCCGGGTTACAATAAGTTCTGCTATTAGAATCGAAGGGAGGCCACCCTGCTGGCTGAACTTCCCTGATGGCTGGGAAGAAGAAAGACAGCAAAGAGAAGAAAAGGGGCACCAGCAATGTCTGGAAACCCAACAGGAGGAGCGTTAAGACCTAGATGTTGGCACCTCACTCTCGGAGAGCTGGAGCAGAAGCTACCAGGGAAGCTGTCCTGCCAGGAAAACATCCACGAGGAGACGCCCCAGCCAGCCGGGCGGACACCACCAGAACCCCATCCACTAACACAAAGGGGACGCGGTAGGAAACACTACCAACCCCACTCACAGCAATGCTTCAATCTGTGGGGCCCTTCACATGTGCTCTAAAATGTGTCCTTTTCAAAAAAATCAATATACTGCCTTTGAAACAAGTCCAAACAGCAACAGATGAGATGATGAGCATCACCTCACCAGAGCCGGATGTATCAAGTTATAGTTCAGCACCGCCATTTCCAATCGTAACTAAAACTCAGTTAACGACGGTCTGTCTCTGAAGATATTTATGACGTAAATTATTTGGGATAAATAAGTTAAAACTTCTTTATTAATAAGTAAACAAGAAACATGCCAAATATCTTAATGTAATATGACCAGTCTTAGCATAAACCAAGTTTACCCTGAGCATCATATTTTCTACTGGATCAAACAGATAGTCATCAAAAAACTACTCCAGGGGGGCTTCCCTGGTGGCGCAGTGGTTGAGAGTCCGCCTGCCGATGCAGGGGATGCAGGTTCGTGCCCCGGTCCGGGAGGATCCCACATGCCGTGGAGCGGCTGGGCCCGTGAGCCATGGCCGCTGAGCCTGCGCGTCCGGAGCCTGTGCTCCGCAACGGGAGAGGCCACAGCAGTGAGAGGCCCGCGTACCGCAAAAAAAAAAAAAAAAAAAAAAAACCACCAGGGCTTCCCTGGCGGCGCAGTGGTTGAGAGTCCGCCTGCTGATGCACGGGACGTGGGTTCGTGCCTCTGGTGACCTACTTCTAGACTTCCTCTCCTATGAAATATCAAGTTTCCTTATTATTTAAATTGGTTTTATATCTGTACCCTGAAACATCCTAACTTACACATTTTGTTTTATCGGTCCATTACTACATAAGAATATCATCCATGTTCATGTAAATGTTAGCCAAAAAAACCGTATCCTACTTTAAACAAACTGATACGTATATGAGACTCATTAGATAAATAGGTTTCATTGACAGTTAAATAAGAATATTCCAATAACTTATTTTAATAATTTCTGGACATTTTGCCCTTCAATATTTATCAATACAATAGAAAACTAACAAAAAAAATTTAGAAACATCAAACTCTCAATTTGACATAAAATTTTAGTTATACAGTAGCATCACTTTTTAGAGCATAAAAAGTGTAACTTGTTAGGCCCTAAAATGTTAGTTATATTCATAAATTTAAGTCACAATCAAAAAAGAACAGTTGTTAATGCTTTTTACATAGTTAGTTGAATTTAGCTTTTTAAAAAATCTTTTGAATTTGGTGCCAATGAGCCATTTTAATGGAATACATGGGTAGAATGGATTAATTGCACCCTACAGAGAAGCCAAAGTGCTTATTTTAACCATTTATTATATTTCCAACTTCATCATGCTGGATAAATGGTTAACATACAAATGAAGATGTTTCTGATGAGTAGCGATTTAACAATAACAACAGCAAAAAAGCAAGAAGGTAATAAAAGAAGGGCAGAAGTAAAAGATACCAACTGAAATGACCAGTTCCTGAAAAATGGAAAAAAGGCAGAGGGCGGAAGTAAGGAGTAAACCGCGCAGGAGTCTGCATGGAAAGTCCAAATCCCTCTCACACACACACAGAGCGGGTGTTCCATAAGGTAGGTCCATGCTTTCATCAAGATCACATTAGCATGCATTTAAAATTACAGAGAAACCATGTTTGCCAAAGGAATTTAGCCTGTTTTACAAACACATCAGGTCGGCACTACTTCACACACCTTAGCTGATGCTATGGTAGGTACTGTGAAGATTTATTCATATCAAATATACTATAAGAACAGATTTAAATTGGAGCTAAAAATAATAATAACGTATCCATTGGAGTCTTCAAAGAGAACTTACTTGGGCCTGGAAAGAACGTAAACAGACCAATGTTAATACATACAGGACAACAAAAGATTACCTTTTTAATCGGAGAAAGCTCACGTACAACCTAGGATCAGTCCCCGCCTGGGGAAAAACCTGACCACAGCTGCAACTCACATGGGCCTAAGTGCAGCAGGCAAGGCTGGGGGAGCCAGGAAGGTGTCTGACTTCCTACCTAAAATTAGCCAGGCCCACTTCACCACAGCTGGGTTAGGTTCCTCTATTTTAAGGTGTGCAGCCCCAAATTGCTTAGGAGTATATAACTGCTGGCCGGTTTCAGGAGCTAAGAGTGTCGAGAGACTTTCCACCAAGCCTTGAGAGTGGACAACTAGCCTGGACAAAAATTCCACACTGAATCATCAAGCTGTCTGGGGTCTAAGTACACTGGCAGTGAAATCATACACTGGAGATATCCATGAAAGCATATCGCCCGAGGGCACAATACGAAGGAAATGAGCAAGAAGAGACGTCCCTTACTCTTTTCCACCACCCAACACACACACACACACACACACACAAACACACAAACACACACACACACACACACACACACGCAGGGTAAAAGTAAGGGAGAAACTGACAAAAATTCATGATCCTAAAGTGTTCTTGTCCTTTCAGGAAATTATATAGAACTGACAGCTGAAACCCTTCCAAGTAATGTCCCGTGATTGTTTTTTTTTTGTTTTTTAAAGTGTGCAATTCAATGGCATTTAGTACATTCACGGTCTGGTACAATCCCAGCCACCTTTATCTAATTCTGAAACATTTCCATCACTCTAAAACAAAACCTCCTACCCATTTAAACGTTTCTTCACATCTCCTTCTCCCCTCAGTCCCTGGCAACCTATTTACCTATTTTGGATATTGCATATAAATGGAATCATAACAATATGTGACCTTTTATATCTGACTCCTTTCACTTAGCATAAATGTTTTCAAGGTTCATCCACATTGTGGCATGTATCAGCACTTCATTCCTTTTTATGGCTGAATAGTATTCCGTTGCTTGTATAAACCACAATTTGTTTATCTGTTCATCCACTGATGGGCCTTTGTGCTGTTTCCACCTTTTGGCTATTGTCAGTAGCACTGCTGTAGACATGCGTGTACATGTATTTGTCTGAATACCTGTTTTCAGTTCTTTGGGGTACATACCTAGGAGTTGAATTGCTAGATCATATGGAAATTCTATTTTTAACTTTTTGAGGAACCATCAAACTGTTTTTCACGAGCCTGAACCATTTTACACTCCTACCAATGTCCCATGACTCTTTACCTCCCCGTGAAAGTCCTAGGCTCCCGGAGTGAACCCCATGGAGTGGGTACTCAGTTCACATTCTGCATTTGGGAAACATTAGAAGGGAACTGGTGCCGCTCCCATTTGTACAGGCGAGAAATTTTTTGCTAGCATTTAAAAAAGGAGCTGAATTTTCAAAAAAAAATGAAAAATGAAAAGGCATGCCCTTCCACCAAAACTAACAATAACTTCATCAACCAATGGTAAAGTTAAGTTGTAAGTTACATGGCCTTTACATACACCTGAAATTTAAGCTGCACAGATAACATTCTGGATTGCTACCACCTCGTGGCAAAGACTTAGCATCTATTTTATTACCAGAACTTGAGACACTAGACACAGAATACACATTTAATTCAGTACGATCCTGATGCCACCACGTTCTGGTCGTCTACAACAATAGCGCTTGTTTTGAATTAGCAAACACACATACCTTCATCTTCTGAGGCATGACATTTCACTCTCAATACCAAGTCAAAGGTTCTTTCTGGATTTTCCCTAAAAGAAAAAGCACTTTGTTATTTTTATCTCCTATAACAAAGTTTATATTTTCTTAACTCTAAAAATTAATCTCCTTCTTGTCTCAGTATGTTCCATATAACTACATGACCACAGCGTAGAAGAAGTAAAGTGTTTTCCTAGTTCAGCAACTTAAGAACCCTGAGGCTTGGGAGCCTGCAGTCTTGGGGCAAAACATTTAACCTCTGAGCCTGTTTTCTTACCTATAAAGTACCCTGTTCGCTTCAAAGAATAATAATGGTGAGGACTACAAATCAAATAATACAAGTGGAAGTACTTTATAAAGTATTAAGTGCTGTATAAATATAAAGCATTGCCTTTATCTTACTGAATCAAAACCGGAAAGCCAGCACGTTCCTAAGTGTCTCTACCTTTCCCTGCCAGCAGAGTTTGACAGCAGGTTCTCCAGCTTTCTTCAAAGGACTTGCAATACAGGTGTAAATGAACACCTGGTTCCACCTGCCATGTTCTAGAGCACCATGAGTCATTCATAATATTCCTTAAATGCAATACTTCGCACATACTTTTCTTGAGATATAATAATTACAGCACATAAGCATGTTTAAAGTGCCAAACTAAACATAGCCTCCAAGGCCAACCAAAAAAAAGCCTTATTTTACGTCAGTTATCTTTGGGGAAACTGGACATCTGCCTCAATACTTGGATTTTATCACTAAGAACAGTGACGCTTTGCTTCATTCAAGAGTTATCCGCATCTTCACTAACTGCTCATACGTTCAACATAGTCTCTGCTTTATTTCAAAAAGCAAATTGAAACCTACTGAGACATCTGTTTTAAAAACATAGTTCTGGGTTTTTTTTTAAACTTAGTTCTGTTTTAATCTCTTTCTGCCAGAAGATAAAAGGTCAAAGTCTGATACCACAAAGTCCATGTAATCAAAGTGTTAATATATTTCAGTTATTCCTGCCAAGGAGACCTTAGTGTCTTTGTGTGCACTGGCTGTTTGTAATATGCACTTCCTTCAAGAAACTAATGGCAGCTTTGGCTTCTAAATAAACATTTGATTTTTAAAAAATTTATTACAAGAATCTAGAAACATAGGAAGCGACAACCCACATAAATTTATTTGCAAATAGAAGTTTCCTCAGCCCTCCCACGATTCACTTGCTTCAATGGGAATAATCAACCTGGACCCTCAGTCAGGTGACCCTCCCTCCTAAGCCGGTTCAGGTCAAAAGGTCCACTTTTCACGTCATGCACCTAGCAACCCACCCCCCGCAAGATATCAAACACTGAAGAAAACAATTCTAAATCACACAATTTTCCTATTTTCGTAATAGTCTTTAGGATCTCTCAAGTGTAAATATCGATTCTATTATACTGGGAAATTTTAAAGGCCTTTCACACTAAAAGAAAAATACACGATATTCACGATTTTAAACTCGGAGGAAGGGAGGGTTAAGGGGGGCGGGGGAAGAGAAGAAAAATGGAATTCTTTGCAAACTAAGTTTCTGTAGCAAAATATAAAACTCATGCCTCTAAGGTACCCAAAAGAAAATCACCACACTTAACACAAATAGCTTTCTGCCTAATTCGTCTCCTAAAGAAAAGCCTCCCCTGGTGGGTACCGGAGCCAACACATCAAAACACCACCACCGCCCACCCAGCCTCCCAGACCCTCTGGCAGGGACCAGCGGCCGTATTACCGCACACGGGGGCCCCTTTCAGGTCCTAAGAAGAGGCGTAAAAAGAAGGACCTGGGACCGCGCCGGGAAGACACCTCACACCCGCACCGCGCGGCCCGGCGCGGCGCGGGCGCCCGGCTGTCACGTCCGACCCGCGGCCCAGGACCCGCAGCGGCCGCGCCGGCGCCCAGGCCTCCGCGTCGGGCCGCGCGTCCCCGCCGCCCGCAGGCTCCGCGGCCTAGGCCGTCCGGGGACCCGGGGGTCCTGGGGCCCGGGGTCGGGGTACCGAGGAGGGGCCGCTGCCCGCCGCCCGCACTCACTTGGTCCTGCAGTCCATGGCTGCATGTCGCGGGGGCCGCCCCGCCCCGCCGGCCGCCGCGGGAACGGCCGCTCAGAGCCCGGCGGCCGCGGCCCGGCGGTGGAGCTGCGCCCGCCCCGCCCCCACGTCCGGGTGACCGCGCGGCCGCCGCCCCCGCCGCCCCCTCGCGCCGGCCTCAAGCTGCCTGCACCTTCAGCGAACCAGGAAGTCGGCGGGCGGGGCCGCAGCCGGACCGCCTCACCTGGGCCGCACGGCCCGCTGGCCCCCGCGGGGGGGCGGGGGACCGGGCCGTGGGCGGGCGTCTGGGGGCCCCCCTAGGGGCCTGCCCGGTGGCCCGCGGGCCGCTGTTAGGCCAGACTGCAAGTGCCCCGCGTCCTGAGCGCCGGACCGGCCGGCTGCCTCCCCGGGGCCGGCCCAGGCTCGGGGCGTCAGGGCTGCAGCCCGCGGAAAGCTAAGAACCTGACGAAGCACCTGGACTCGCCCTGTGCTCCACCCCGCGTGCGCCCGGAGCACCAATTGCCCGTGTTTGCTCGACCCTGCGTAGGCTGGTGCGTTTCATTGCTGTCAGGCTGCAAACCCGGACGGAGCTCCAGGTGCCGCTCGGCTTCAGCTGGGCCTGGTTACCTCCGATTCCAGAGCCGCCCCCTCTGGAGTCGGGAAGGTTAGGACCTGCACCTGCTCAAGAGCCCTGCCAAGCAGCCAAATAACAGTGCTCCACTTGCTTGCACATCGGGGACACAGACCTCCCCCACCACAGGCCGCCGCACGGCCAAGCACTCACCTGGGGACACACCCACGAAGGGACAGGCCTCGTGAAAGGGCAGCCAGGGAGCTCAGGGCTGGACGGCGGCCCGAGGGCAGAGGGGCTTGTACAAAGAGCTGCAGTGTTCAGAGCCCTGGGGTACGTGGGAGCAGCTGGTATGCACCGTCCCAGCGCTTGCGGTCACTCTACATGACAGACACTTTCACCAGCATCTCATAGATGAAGAAGCGGGCCAAACCAACCCCGGGATGATGGCCAAGCTGGATTTCAGACCAGGTCTACCCTATACCGCCTCTCTCCCTGGGGTGAGAACAGAGCTAGAAGTAGTCTTAGGATGGACGTGCGAAAGGCCGTCCAGGGCTGGGCTGTTAACGCAGAGACCTTCCCAAGAAGGCTTCTCCCACACGTTACCACCCTTGACACATGGCTTCAGTGTTTTTCATCCAAATAGGGGCTGCTTCAGACTTTATTCACGTAAAAGGTAAGAGGATGAGAGGAAACCAAATGTGGTATGTATAGAGTGTGAGTCATGAGACATACAAGTTAAACAGGAAGTCTTGGGAATTAAGTAAAGAATTTAGAATCAAGAACCTAAAATTAAACTCAGTTATACCGATCTCAAACGTTCTTACCAAAGATAGGCTGTTACTTGGTCAACAGAACAAGATACATTGCATAGTCAGACCCGATAACTTATAATGAGGACAGGACATAATGGGGAAACAAAAAAGTTGTATTTTAGCATAATGTGTTGTCATAGCTTCACTTGGGGTGAGACACTCAGTTTCTTGGTTCCTACATTTGTAAAATGGGAATTACTACTTGTGTATCACATGAATGATACGATGTTCAAATTTAAAAGTGCTACTAATTGTGTGCTCTATTGAGAAACCATTCTGTGGATTTCAGTTTCACAATGAGGCAACATACACCACAAAATTTTTTTCCCAAATAACACTCTTTTCTACATAAGAAGTTACCATAGTCCAAAGCCTTGGAAAAAAATCTGTAAACTCAAAAACCACTTCTGCTCCAAGTGTCACTAAATTTCTCAGACGTCTACTTTCATTATATTTAATTCTTCTCCAAAGAAAGGAACCCTACCTGGGCTGCCTGCATCAGGAGTTTTTAATTTGTGGTGAGGAACTATTAATACAACTGTTTTCTCCAACCATTTGTTGAGATTTAAGTGACAGTCATACCCCTGCACAATATAATTTTTTTAATTTACTTTAAGTATATGAAGAGGAAATACTACATATGCACACACAAATCTTTTTAAACTGGCTTTTAGGCTGACCATGATGAAGAGGTTTATTCATCTATTCAGATATTACGGAGGTAAAAGGGATAGAAACACAGATGGACACAATTTGCATGATTTGTTTAAAATTACTGAAAAAAGAGAATTTTGTATACAATTATCTTGGTGAGATGTTTATTGAAACCCATGGTATAAGTTTAGCAGTTTTAGAACTTCTGACATGAGTGGTAGAGAACTCGACAAAGGGCAAGTCTTCAAATTGGTATTAGATCTTCCTAAGATCATATTTCAGCAGTAATATTTCCTACTTGACTATTGATGTTAATGTATTTCAGGACTACAGTCATCAAAGGACATAGTCTGCATGTGGTCAAAGAACATAGTTTATAAGCTAATAATCTTAAAATCTTTTGAGCTTATTTTAGTCTTCTGTGTGTGTTTGTAAAGAATATACATAAAAATATGTCCTTGGGAATTCCCTGGTGGTCCAGTGGTTAGGACCCAGCACTTTCACTGCTGTGGGCCCAGGTTCAATCTCTGGTCGATGGAACTAACATCCCACAAGCCGCGCGATGCGAAACAGCCAAAATATAACTACATAAAAATAAAAATATGTCCTTGATCAAATATTATGATTGTGTTGTTGACATCTCCTCTTACTGGATTTGCATCACAGTTGACACAATTCAATTAATGGACGAGATGACTTGAAATCTCCTAATGTGACGGTGGATTTGTCTATCTCAATTTGAAGTTCTTTCAATTTTTGCTTTATATAGTTTGGGGCTGTGTTGTAATATGCAAGCCAGTTTATAATTATTATATCTGCCTGGTAAACTTATCATTATGTTGTGACTTTCTTAAATTCTAGCAATGCTTTGCCTAGGTATCTAAACAGCTTTCTTCTGATTAGTGTTTACCTAGTATTAGTAACTCTCTTTTCATCCTATTGCATCAAAGCCTTCTAAATCATGTGTAGATTTAGCTAACAAATGTTACTTTTGGCTTTCAGCCTAGTCTGATAATCACTGACTCTTAGATTGGGCTTTTAGACCAGTGCATGTATTATAATTGCTGACATATTTGAATTTATTTCTGCCATCTAATGTTGTACTTTCCATTTGTCTTCTCCGGATCTGTGGTTTTTTTTCTCTCACCTTTCCTTCTTTAGGATTGATTGATTTTTTTTTTTAATGCTTCCACTTCTCCCCTATTCTAGTTGTAAGTTATGTACTCTGTTCCTATTCATCTAGTGATTATCCTGGAAATTTTAACAGGCAAATTTATCTGATTAAGTCCAAAGTTTATCACTACATGAACCTTCTCCCAGACAACACAAGGACCTTTAAAATACCCTCCAAAACTACAATACATTATTTATGTTGTATTATACTCTTGTTTTATATCAATGTTTGTTTAGATTTACCCAGACATCTACCACTTAGTTTGCTCTTCTTTCTTATTTCCATCTTAGATGTCCCATCTATGATTGCCTTCCTTCTGCCTAAAATACATGCCATAGGTGCTGACTGATTCTCTCACTTTTTGTTTGGGTGAGGAATGTATGTATTTCACCCTCACTCTTGAAAAATATCTTCACTGATAAAGAATTCTAAATTGACATTTCTTTCTGTACATTTGCAATACCATTACACTGTCTTCTAGCATCTCTAGTTATAATGTGAATTTTGAAAGTAATCTTGAAGTGTAATCTGTCTTCTCTTTCTGCTTTTAAGATTTTTTGTTTGTCTTTAGACTTCTAGTTTCGCTATGAAGCATTGAGATGCAGATTTTTTTTTAATCCATCCTTCTTGATTTCTTTGCATTTCTTGACCCTGGACTGGTGATTTTCGTCAGTTCTGGGAAATTCTGAACCCCATCCTTTCTCCTCTTTCCTTCTGGGACTCTGATTATACACATGTTCTCTTTTTACCCTCCATTTCTCTTAACATCTCTTTCGTAATTTCTTTTTCTTTATCATTCTAGGCAGAATTCTGGATAATTTCACAAATATCTTTTTTTTAATAGATCTTTATTGGAGTATAAGTGCTTCACAATACTGTGTTAGTTGCTGTTGTACAACAAAGTGAATCAGGCACATGCATATATATGTCCCCATATCCCCTCCCTCTATCTCACCCCTCATATGGTATCTTCCTTTTCATTAATTCTTTCCCTGGCTTTGTCTCATCTTCTGTTAAAGCTAAACATTTAGTTTTCAATTTATATTACTTTTATTTCTAAAGCTCTTTTTGGTTATTTTTAAATCTGCTTTCTCAACTTGTGTTTTAAGCCTCTCTTTAATTTCTTAAAATATATTTAACATACCTATTTTAAATTCTGTTTATGATAATTCCAATCTCTGCAGCCTTTGTGGGTCTGATTCTACTATCTGATTTTTTTCTGCTGGCTATAATTTATGGTCCCTTCTTTTCTTCCACGTGTGGTGATTTCCTTTTGTTACCTGATCCTTGGAGCTTCATATGTGGAAATTTAGTGAGATCTGAAAGGAAGCTGAGTTCTCTGGAGAGGATATTCATTTATTGCCAGTAGAAGTCTAAGGAGCACTACCAGTTCAGAACCCTCTGATACTAAATTCTCAGCTTGAAACTTTTCAGACCACCCAGGTGAGATGTGACTTGTAGTTATGAATCCTCCAGGAGGATTAACTCTGCTCCAATGTTTGAGACATCAGTTTCCCTTGAATCCCTTTGGCATGCCTGGTTCTGAGGGGTATCCTATTGGAATTCCCACATTAGGAAGGGCCTTAAGCCCCAAATGGCCACGATAACAGAGACTCCAGTTCATCCAGTTTAACAAACCCCCTCTCGATGGAAGATGGCTGTGGTGGCCACTTCACTTGCTCTTCACCCCACCAAGTACTCCTCACTTCCCTGACTGCCCTTAAGTGCCTTTAATAATTTTCAAAATATTTAATTCTGAAGTTTTAACTACTTTCAGCATAAGTTTTAACTAGACATCATAATTGACTGGCTTTAACTACACTATCCACCTAATAATGTCTACCTTCCTCAAGCCATACCCAAATAGTCCCTGACTTATATACACCCTTATATATTAATGGTGTGGGGAAATCTAAGTTCAGGGCCTTTAGTGAGACAACTGTCCTGCTTCACAACGTACTGTGATAACCATAAAGGTAACCCCTGGTCCCCCAGACTCGATCCATTCACACAATGGAAATATGCCTTAGACAGAAATCAAGAGATACTGATACCTGGAGTATCGACAGCTCCTTCCCCTTTGGAGTATGGAAAAAGAAACAATATTGTCAACTCTAGAATGGTATTTCTTAAGTAATACCTTTAATAATGCTTCAAGTTTGGAACAGCATAGCTAGATTCATCTGGGCCATGAGCTTCACCAATTTATATCAGGGTTTTAAGTTCCAAAC